ATCGTATAGAATAGACTGTCGAGTTTCAGATGAAAGTAGAAACTTCTGCAAGTTTCCAGATCCTGACCTAAAGCAGAGGAGACGGCGGCGGGGAACCGCTTTCCCTCTAAGATCTGAGCAAAGATCAGTTGAAATCTGAATAAAGTTGTAATCATTAACAGAGTGAAGCTCAGAAAGCTTCTGGTTCTGATCCCAGCTGAAGGCTGGAACCGTCTCCCTGAGCAGAACCAGGACGGCTTATTGGACTCGGTGTTTGTTTGGACTCACAGCTGAAGGACACGGCGCTGCCCCCCTCCCCCATCCCTCGCTCCGTCGTCCCGTTGGAGTTCACGGCCTGGATGGTGAACAGGCTCCGCCTCCTCCTGCGACAGGCCTGCCTCTTTGCTGGATGCTCATTGGCTGGAGGACTGGGGGATCGGGCTTCCTCCTGCTTGTGGTCCTCCTTCTCTTCTTCTGTGGTATCAGGAGGCCCAGAATCCGCTCCCAGGTCCCCGCAGGCGTTGGTTCCGTTAGGGTCGGTGGCGAGGCTCTGGGAGCCGTTGCTGACCTCCGTGTCTCCCTGGTCCCCGGAGGCGTTGACCTCTGCTGAGGCGGCGCTGTCCGATGGGCCGTTTGGAGACGGTTCTGGTTCAGATGGTCCGGCGGCCTCTGGACGATCCTGCTCATCTGAGGAGAAAGCAGAACCGAGGAGCGGGTTGGAGAACCTCATTTAATCACTCAGATCTGGGTTCTATCATTAAGCTATGGACCACCATGACGGACCAGAACCAGTCCTGGAGGACCAGGTCTGATCAGAGGTTCTAGGGGCTTTCTGAAGGCCTGTCTGTCTTTGGACTGGTTCTGTTCCTCCAACCTTCACAGCAGGAACATCTGAGCTACTAGCAGATGAAAACCCAGACCAGAACCTGAGGGTTTGTTGGGCCCGTCGGGTCCTACCGTCACTGACGCCGTTGGTTTGGGGTTTATACAGCTCCTCCTCCTCCTCCTCCTCCTCCTCTTCCTCCTCCTCTTCCTCTAGCTCCTCAGCAGGGTCAGGAGGTCGGACATAGCGCCTGCAAATGGCCAGAGTAAAGAGAGCTGAGACCCAGCAGAGGCTCCGCCCACTAACACGCAGTCATGTGTTCTGCTCACGCTAGCCTCTGCAGGAACAGGCTGTAGAGCGCCTCCTGGCTGCAGCTGCTGCGCGGCACGTTGAGCAGCAGCGGGTGTCCGAACAGCGAGGCGCCGTATGAGTTGCTGCCGGTCCCGTAGTCCCTGTAGTTGGAGCGCTCCCTCAGGTAGAGCGCCAGAAGAACAGAATCCTCGTTCTGCTCGCTCAGCTCATACCTGAAGGCCACAGAAGCTTCTCTGAGTGAACGTTTCTCAAGATGGCCGCCTGAGGCAGCAGCGTTTGGGTTACTTACACAAAGATATCGTCCCGGTCCAGGATGCAGCTCAGAGATTCGTCTGGGTTGTAGATTTTATAGAAGCGATGATTGAAGACGTCAGCGACGACCATCTGGAAGACAGACGAGGACAAGCATCTGAGCCAGTCTCACACAGCTAGCATCTGAGCTAGTCTCACACAGCTAGCATCTGAGCTAGTCTCACACAGCTAGCATCTGAGCTAGTCTAACACAGCTAGCATCTGAGCTAGCATTCTGGACCAATCTTCCCTAAAACCAGAATGAACAGAGGTTCCAGGTTTAAACCACCAAACACCCCAGAACTAAGAGTTTGGGTCCAGGGTTCCACCTCATGTTAGGTTCTCTACACGCCCAGAACCAACCGACCAATCCATGATTGGCTTTGGGTTTTTAATGTGATCCAATGGTTACCATGGGAACCACAGCCAGGTGAGCGTAAAGCAGCTCAGTTGGTGAGAGAGGAGGGTCAGAGGAACTAGTTAGTAGCTTCAGTGTTAGTTTGGACGATGAGCTGAAGGATGACGGCGACCCGAACCGACCCTAACCGACCCTAACCGACCCTAACTGACCCTTTACTCAGCTGTAAGAAAATAAATTCAGCTGCATCATCTTATTATATTTAGATGTTTTCTAATCTGATTATTTTGGATTTTAAATTAACTGCAGCATGAAGCATCGTCCGTTTTCACCCATATTAAACCGGTCATCTCTATCTAGAATCAACGGATCTAGGCTAAACTCTAGATGTTCCAGTGACTGAACCAGCTGTCCCGCGGGTCGTGGACCCATTTACCTTTGGATCTCTGAATGTTTAAACACTGATGTTAAGTCTGTGGTTCTGTCTGGTTGCAGTAATCGCTTTGATCTCAACATTTATAATTGGAAGCAAGGCCGTAACCATGGTAACCGTGGATGTTTAGGATCAGCGGAGCAGAAGTTCTGACCCGGTTACCTGTGTGGGCGGGACGCCGGCCATCTCCGACAGAGCGGCGCAGAGGTCCGACACTTTTCCTGCTTTAGGAACCACGACCCGATGCTGCGGAGACAGAGACGGGTGAGACCAGAACCGCTGACGGACCCGTTCAGGCTCCGCTCCGCGGGTCGTACCTGCACCGGCTTGGCGTGGGGGTCCAGAGAGACGAAGAAGACCTCCATGACGCGCTCCTTGCTGACGGGCAGCGGGACGCTCAGGTAGCAAAAGGGGTCGAAGGTCACGGACACCTTGTTGCACTTGGGGCAGACCAGCGTGGACTTGAAGAGGCCGTGGAAAGTGTCAACGATGACGGAGTCGTTCCTCCGCAGGTGGTTCCGCCACGCCTCCTCTGCCACTTCCTGTAGGGGAGACAAAGCCCGTTTCCTGGAGGTCCACCCGGAGCTGTCCAAGGTTCCTAGTTCTGTTGGCGCCACTCACCTGGTCCGGCCGTCCGTCGGCGTCCCGCAGCTCGATGTACTCCTTGTTTTTGACCCGGTTCAGGTCCTCGTGGAGCCCGTCCAGCAGGAAGGACAGCAGCTCCTGGCTGTCGTGCTGCTGGTAGCCCAGGAACTGCGACGCAAAGTGACCCACCTTGGTCTGACAGACACACAGGTTAGACACGGCGCCGGCAGAACCACAAACATCAACAGACCCACCGCTACCTTGAACACCCGCGGCACCACAGAGTAATGGCGTCCGGACCACATCTGCTTGATGACGTCGGCGTACGCCTCGGCGATCTCGCCCTTCATGCCCAGAGGGTTGGTGAAATTCAACTCGTCCAGGTAGGAGCTCTGGAGGAAGTACTCGGTCAGAGGGGGCGTGTTGCTCAGGCACTGCAGGGAGGAGCAGAACCGGACCACCATCAGAACCTCAGCTCCTACCCTTTAACATCAGAATGAGGTGGACCAGAACCAGGGAGGTTCTGCTGGACATTCTGCTGGTCCTGGTTCTGTTTGCCTCATCAAGCTTTAAAGTTTTAAACCATCTTTCCATCAAAGCTGCTCAACCTGCGAGATGTTCTGCTGGAGCTTTGGACCAACAGCCAGAGAGACGGTTAGAACACACCTGGGTCACATGATCTGACCTCACCGAGTACAAACATCAAC